TGTACAAGTATTGGTAAAAAGTTTAAATTAATTAATTCATCAATAGGTGGATTATGTTCAATGGATAAAAGTTTTCGTGCTGAACGTATACCTTGAAAACATATAGATAAATCAGAATTTTGAGATTTTAATACAATTTCATTAAGATTTAAACATCGACATTGTTCATCATCATCATCATCATCAATGATTTCAGCTGACACACTACTATCATTAACAGTTAGATTACGTTTAAATTGTATTTGTTCATCACGTTTAGTCTAAAATGTAATCAAATTAATTATTTTTTTTTTTTGAATTTAATCAATACTTTTCGTAATGATATATTATATTGATTTCGTCGACGTCGAAGTTCATCGGAATCTTTACCATGATGTTTATATGACTGAATGCGACTAGATGTATTTTTTGATAATGAAGAATTCATATCTTGAAATAGAAAAAAAACCAATACGATTAATTATTTTGCTTTCTATTCCATTGAATGATAAATAGTTTAATCGATGCATTTGGATAGGCTCTTGTTTTATGGCCTTTATTTCTAAAATAATCGACTGACAAGATTAGGAAACAAAAATTTTTTTTTTCTCATAAAAATGACTCATTCATTCTAGTACATTGTACGCTTTCTCAATATTACGCATATTCATGAAAATAAATCTAGTACATATTTTTTTTAGTTCGAATAGATGGCGACAGAAGTCAAAGAATCATCATAAAGGTTTGTCATAGAAACATGGGATTAATGGGATATATTAGCTGATGACAACTCGGTATATGTAATAAATAACATGGGGACTTTTGTGGATTTTGAACTTTGATGTTTTCTATTGTTCTATGTGAAGCCTAAAAAAAACAATATTATATGATTTAGAGGATATTGTTTAAGGGAAGACCCTCCTCAAAAATCTAACTTCGATAGAGTACATAAGGTATGGATGCAATTTTGCATAGATATTTAATTCATGGAAGTACATTAATAAAAAAAATTCACATCTCCATTAGAGCCCATCGGATTCAAGAATTTTTGGACCCAAATCCGGATCCGATGGGCCTTAGTCTCCATACGTTACCGTTCAGGGGATTTTCATGAATCAAGCTGCAAAGCTCGAATTACTTTCATTTGACTGAGAACTCCTTACAATTTCAGATGAGAGAATGAGTTTTTTAAAAATTTTTATCTAATTTATTGTTTCCGATCATTGAAACTTGAAAAGTCTAGAATTTATAGGCATGATTTCCTGGAAAACTCATGTTTACCTAGCATGGATGATTAGTTGAAAATTAGTTTTTTTTATTTGAAGGACTGCATATATCTATCGATTAAAAAATAAGACAACTTTCTAGAATGAAGTATATTAAGAAAAACCCAAAAGAGGCTTTTTTTTTTATATAGTCTTCCTATTGTTACTTGAAATAGAGGTGAAGGTACTCATCAAGAGAGTACTTAAAAAGTACTCACACTAGAAAATGACGTGAGAACTCATGAGTACTCAATGTTTTTGAGTACTCAGCAGTGGTACTCGTGCTAGAATTTGAGTATCTGAGTACAACTATCAAGTACTCCTGCTAGAATCTGAGTACAACCATCGAGTACTTGCCTTAAAATAATGAGTGTTTCACGAGTACTTCTACATAGTTTTTGAGTAGTCTAGTCGTTTATGTAAAATACTCATAGACCTGCATTCTGTTCATTACTGTTGCACTACGTCCATTTTATTTTTTATATAAAATTAATAACACAAAATACAATACTACATATTAAAAATATGAGAGAACAATCAATACGAGAGTTACAAGTATTATTTTGTCTGCATTAGTTTTTAACACAAATACTAGAGATAAAGAAATATCTAACTTTCTTCTATAACGACCGATGAAGATTTCTTTGTCTCTAGCTTATAAAGTAAGAGTACAGTAAACTAATTAAGTGACAGTAAAATAAACTTAGAGAAAAATAAATGATAGATTATTCAGTGAAATTGAAATATGTGATTACAAATAAAGATTCAGTATTGATTGATACACAACAAAAAAGATAAGTGTTTAAAAATCATTTATATCTACAATCATTTAACAATTTATAAAAAAAAATAAAAAATTATTTATGCGCCTGTAGTCATTGTTTTCATGTGTGTATAGTTTAAAATCGCAATCAATTTGCAACAAAAGTCATTAGTTCTTTTTTTCTATTACGATCCATCATCAATCTGTAAAATTTTATGTTAATACAGAACTTTTTATCTATATTTAGAAATTGATACTAGAATAAATTTCGATTAGTATGTTTAATTCAATATTAAATCTTACTCGCGAAGTTAACAGTTAAAAATGAAAAGTCGCTTTCTTTTTTTTCTTCACGTCATCATCCAATGAAATCGTATAAACCAATCATCAGAAAATAATAGAGAATAAATAAAATATAGACTTCATTAAAACAGTTCTTCTCTATTTTTCATTTAAAATTACATCGTTTTTCTTTATTACATAATTTCAATTTATTTTTGTGCATACAAGTGCATAAGTGTTTCACTAAATATTCTGCGAAAAAACTCGTATGAGTACTACACTGAGTACTTGCGTCTTTTTCTGTGTGTTAATCTGCAAAGAGAACCTAGTATGAGTACTCATATTAGTACACATACAGTATTCATACACATAAAATTCTTCAAGTACTCGTATGAGTAACTTGAGTACTCATGCTGGTAAATCGTACTCTCTTGATGAGTAGTTTCACTAGGGATATTACATGTCAATCGAAACACTTGTCTATGTACATTAGATTATTCTCGTGTGATATACATCAAAATTGATCATGCTACCTATTATTGCCTCTATATTTATTATGTCATTCAATAACATAATACACTGAAACGAATAACAAATTAATTTTTTTTATTCGTTGGTTGCTTTATAATTTTTTTTGGTAAAGACTGACAATGATGATTAGTTTTTACTAGTAATTCATAAGAAATATAGTATTTATTGTATATAAAATATCTACTTTGTAGACGTAGGTGGAGAGAGGATCCATATCTACACCCTTATGCCATTGTAGATCTCAAAAGTGTGTCTCTAAGATGTACAAGATTTGACTATCTCTGAAAAATATTTCTTTATTTTACAGATCGAACTATACAAAAAAAATTTTACTGATTGCACTAGACATGACTATTTGTCTAGATAGCTTTACAGATCATTCATAGAAATCTTCAAAAGCCTTCGAGAATTAAAACTATTTCTGTAAATTCGTACACTAGACAACTCAGGTAATATGTTTATCTCAAAACTAATTTTTTTTGCTGAAAATGGAAGTTTCTGAGAGCGACGTCAGTAAAGACTTATTGTGGATTATTATAGTGGAAGACGAGAATTTTATCACTTGATGATTCTGGAAAATTTTAAATTGTGCCATATATGCAGAAGATCTTGGATGGCAAAAATACATCGAAGATGAAAGTCTATAAAGATGAGGTTAAGTGATTATCCGTAAGGACATTGAGCATTCACGTTACTGACGTAGCCAAGAGTAAGTCCATTGGGCAATTACTTACGGCTTTTTTTGAAATGATACAATTTGTCCAATGGCGAAAAATCTTGATACATATACATGTATAAAGACCTAAGTAGTGTCATTTTAATACATTTTATATTGTTATGATCTAATCAGATGATTCAAAAAGATCAATTGACTATGTTTTCCAGTTTCTTGGAATTCGGACAATTGGAATTTCCCCATATGAATTTCGACAATTATCTAAATTCATAAAGAACTACAACAATATCATTTATTGCTGAAGGTTTTATTTTGAAATGTTCGATGGAATTCGGACAGTATCCATAATAGTTGAAACTGTAGTGTTTGATGGAAATAGAGATTTCCTTGTTTCGAGACTAATATGACACTAAGAATTAGTATTTAAGTACTGAATACTAAATAACAAGCCGAATTTATTATTTATACCAGCATCACCAAAAAAAACCAAAGGGTGTGAGTGTGACTCAAACGATATATGTACATCCACAGCTAGGAAGAACAAAAATAAGGAAAGAAGATGCACGTATTTAAGAGACAAATCTGTAACAATTATTAAAAAAATTCAATATGATATTAACAGAAACACAAATGATTTACTACAATTCTTACTGCTGTACGTATCGTCCGAATTCTACTGGAATTTGAACAATAAAATTTCTAGCAATCAATGATATTGTCGTAATTTCTTATGAGTTTGGACAATTGTGAAAATTTGACAGTATTGTTCAAATTCATACAGCGAAATTCCATTTGATCAAATTCCAATTTACCATGTTTTCTATTAAACCGATGATCACAATGGTATTTTTTGTCAAAATACTCGTTATTCCATTTAAATTGGTTAATGGTTCTATAGGTGCTTATCTATGCTTTTTGATATAATATATTCAACATTTGAAAGATGAAGAGTCTTTTATGAAACAATGTAAAAACAAGCAAACGAGTTCTTCTCCTCAATAAACATCGTTTTTTTTGTGATGGCAATAATTTAAAAAAAAATTATAGTCCAATTGATCTTTAACTGCCCATTGTTGTTCACTCCTCACAATAGTTTAGCTGAGAAATAGCCTATGACTTAAAAATTTCTAGCTATCCCAATGATCTCGACCTAAGCATGTCATATTTTAAATTTGTGGGTTTGTCTGTGAGACCTTCAGTTGGATCCAAATATGTTCAATGTTCTTGAGTTACAACATGTGACCTTCCATTGTTAGTTCCGACAGTGAAATTCATTCTGCAAGACATTTAACGAATTGTTTCAGTTAATATGTTACTTCTTTCATGAATTTTATTTGTTGAAGTTTTTTATTCAATTCAAGTATGTTCACTCATTAGTCGATAGAACACTTCTCGTAGAAACGTTTATATTGAGAATTTAGTTGTTTTTATTGATCAGTATTAAATCGAAAATACTTAATGAAATTACAAAAAAAAAAATATTGATATAAACAAAACTACAAACTTATTTTTTATTTTGAGACTCTTCATTTTCTACTTCCTTTTTATGCTCATATTTTATTGCAGAACTTTTCCATCGATTTATTAGTTCATCTAATAATGCTGCAAAATCAATTGTATTTACTTGCTTTTCACTTTTCTTTGGTCGAACTAATATCCATTCACCATCTTCTCCTTCCGATAGATCTATTCGATTATGAATTGTTACACTTCCTTTTCCTGCTTTCGCATTTTCAAGTGTTTTTATCACTTGTGCAGTTGTTTTCGGTGTTATCATACTAATACAAACATTATATTGCTCTTCTAATGATGTAATATAACCCTTCCGACCAATAAATCGACCACGTTGTGATTGTTTTATAGCTTCAAGTGGTACGTGGATACTTGGTTTAATTTCAAATTTATACGGTAAAAATAGAAATTTTCCATTTTTAAATGGTTTTGGTGGTTTATTTATTTTTAAGAATATTGGTATTTCAGTATCAATTGTTGATGTTGATAATAAATTGGAATCTGAAACTCGATTTTCTTTAATAAAATTTTCTAATAGATTCAATGATAATATAAATTTGGGATTGTCTTTTTTATCTCGATGTATTTGATCAATGAGTTTCTGTAAATTGATCAATTTATCTTTATCATCAATAACAACACTTATTAGTGTTTGATTGTCAAGATTGCTACATGTACAACACTGATGGGCCATGTTTCGTAGTATAGGTACAGGAATACGTTTTTCATTTCGAAGTTCATTAACAACAGCATGAAATAAACAACGATAACGTGAATGGTGAACTAAACAAGCCATTGTGTCGGTAGAACAAGACGAATGAGAAAAAAACCAAAGAAAAACATTCTAAATACGTGGACAGATTGCGTAATAACACAAAATTACACCACCATGTGGAATACAAAATGGAAGAGTAAATATTTGTCATAATGTTTATTATCTGACTAGTAGAGAAAACCAATTGTGAAATAAATTGATAATCATGAATTTTGTACCAATATTTTTATTACGAAACTATTGTAGACTACTGTTTAATGTTTTTTTTAATTATTCATTTATATCATGATGGCTATCGCCATCTAATGATTCGGGTATTGCATGTCAAATGCTTTTGCTGATTTGTTTACTGTGAAAATATTTGCTCCGTCAATATTTGTTGCCGTTAGATTTGTTTTTCGTCTTTCAATCTACAAAGCGATAAGTAAATAATAGGCTTCTTGGAGGGTGTGTGGGTATCCACGTGTGCGTCGGTTGACGGACGTGGATGAAGAGGAGATACACATTCACACCTTCACCGACACCCACTCTCCGAGTGGAATTTTTTATGTAGATCTTCTTACACCTTTAATGGCCTCAGTTATGGTTTCAAAGGCAACCTTTTTGCTGGACAGTTTCTAGCCGGCCAAGGCTGGTTTCATTATGAAGTTGTACATCTTATGTGGATCTTCCAACTTTTTAAAATTAGCCATCAAACTACCTCATTGCTTGGAAGAAAACGTCGCCTGAAAACCATGATTTTCATTAAAAATGTATTTTTGAGAAGTCTTTATTGACTGAATGGAAAAGTGTAAATGAGTGAAATTTTCAGTATTTTATCCTAAGTAGAACTTATTGAGATATATACCCACAAAACATTAAAGCTCAATCAGTGGAGCCATTCTTGAGATATAATCTCGTCAAAATCCCTATTGGTTTGAAATGTAGGTTGTTAGGATGTTTCGTAAACATCCATCAGAAACCGAGGGTTTAATATTTTTCAAAATGGCTTGTGTCAAAATTCATAAAACTTTTTCCTCGACAACAATGTCTGAAAATGAGTAAAATCTAACAACCTTAATTGATAGGTACAATTGTTCCTTACGTGGGATGACTAATATGCAAAATTCAATTATAAGGCTTAAAATTGAAAAAGTACATGTCTGCTATTTTTCTTAGGCAAGCATATGAAAGCCTAGTATTTTGGGTATGTACTTAGCTCGAATTGGCCTACTCACTGGCAAAAGATATGACTGTCCGTGGATATTCGTAGAATCAGGTCGCTGAGCTCGATCTACTGATGGTATGAATTTTCAATTTGGGAGTGTTCGTGGATGTTTGCGTCTTTTACAAATACTCGATTTGAACCAATATCCTTAAAAGGAGAACAAAACTTCTCAACTTCAAACAGTTCTTTTTGAATAGAAACAAACAATGAAGAACTTTCGATTAAACGTTCAACTATAGAAAGATGATGTTCTTGATTGCCAACATTCAGCGTCATGATAAAATTACAGTTATAATGTAAGAGAAACAAAATCTTAATTCAATGAAAATTAATATCTAATGGAGAAATAAAAGTCAAAGCAAGGGGAAAAAAGTAAGATTTCAGCTTTTTGAAATACGAGTGAAGTACAAGTGAAGTACGCACTCTTAAAGCCTCGCTTTTCCCCCTTGTGTCAAACATATATCAAATTTTGATTGTTCAGAAAGAACTGTTCCAACAGCTTGAATATTTCAGTACGGAAAAGTGAAAGTTGATAGAAGAAGAACGACAATTAGATTGGAAGGTAATATCCAATTTGTTGAAGATACATATACGTAGAGAATAGTTTCAAGATACTCTTAAACCTAGAGAAATGGTTCACTGTATCTAATGATATGTTTCAAATTTGAGTGTGAATGTCAGTGAAGAAAAGTCTTGCACCGCAAGCAAATCCACTCTCTAAATTCGCTGCCTTCTGTGGTGATTTTCACTAGATTCTTCTACGACTTCAAATGTGGGTGTTTTTTTTTCTTTCACACCTAACGACAAACCCTACCTAGTTTCATATGAAGATATGATCATAAAAAAATAAGCGAAAAAAACATCCAACAACGTCATTTATTGTATCTTTATCCTTTTCAACATTCGTTTGTTTCTCACCTATACAATGAATTAATTATCACTGTTTTGGATACCTTATTTCAAAGATTGTTTATTTTTTTATGGAACTCACATATATTTTCCAAGAAAATACTGAGTGTACCTTTTAAATCAAAGTTTTGGCGGCATCCACTACAGACATCAGTAACCAGTGTAGCTCCTTTCTTATGCCATAATTGTTATTCGATCAACAAAAAAAACATTAGTTGATCAAATTATAACCTTAACAAATAAACAATCACAGTCTTTGATGAGTTGATCGTGATCTATAATAGTGTATTAAGACCTGGTGCTGCAGATAAAATGAATATTTACAACAACCTTATTTGGCATTTAATTCAAAGCCTATAATCATAGCAATATAAAATAAATTGTCATAGCAACTAAATGACTGAACAGCAGTAATTCGGCTGCCGCACTCTGTGCAGTTAGTCGCCGTAAATATGAACAGAATAAGTAATTGTTCTGATGCCACCACAATCCCAGTAGATTTCCTAGTAATGATATAATATGTAAAGAAAAGAATTATTTCAAAAAATATGTGATGAAGCACAAATATTATTAAAAAATGCTAGAGCTAAAGTTGAAAATATTAGATTAGAAAGAAAACTCTTCAAATAGAATTATATTAAACTAAAAAGAATTAAAAGTTTATATGATCAATCAATTTATCCATCACAACAAATAATTCAACAATTAATATATAATTTATCTATTGGAACAAGAATGAAAAAAACAATGTACTGAAAATGTTATTTATCTTCTTAAACAAACTATAGCTAAAAATGTACTATTAACTGAAGCATAACAACTTCTCGTTTGAAATTAAACAATGAATTGTATTACTTGAAATAACTCCTAGATGAAAATATCGAAAAAAAAACAAATGATGTTAAATCAAATATTTTTAAAATTAGTACCTCTTACTAGAACACTTCAACTTAAGTTAGATTTTTATTTTTACTAACGACTTTTTGGTTATCAAGGTTAATTTTAAGGTACACTTCTTCTAATTATTACTAAATGTGATAGTTTGTTGAAATATCAAAGTCTGAGCTTCAAAAACAAAACAAATGTAGGGAAAAAACATTTTTGAGATTAACTTTGAATGAAAAAAAGTTTCATACCAAACATCATCAAAAAAGTTCTTACAATTTCTGCCCCTTTCAAACATATTTCTCACATCAAGCCTATTTATTTTACTATAACAGGTTATATACAAAATTATATGATTGTAAAAAATACACAGTACTTTTATCACTTTTTCACATAGGACATGATAAATTATATTTTGATCCACTTTCCGATCGTGATGCTTCACAAGATTTTGATTGTTTCAAAAAATAAGTCATTCAACATAAACAATAGTTTTCAGATACGAAACAAATTCTTCTCCTTTTTTTCTGAAATACATTGTCTGAAATAATACGCACTTCTTTACCAATTTAAATTCATTTTAACATCTACTAACATGTTCAAACTCTGAATAATGAATTTTTTTCAATGTCCTATTTCTTCCATGCAAAGTAGTGCTTCTATCAAAACAAAGACATTTTATTTACTATTAAAGAGTTTCTGAGAAACTTTCTAAAGTATAAAAGTCGATAAATTTTTTAAGAACTATTCTCTTATTTATCTAGTTTTCAAGAAAAAAATTTTCTTTAAATTCGAGAAAACCTATCAAGAAAACAGTATTTTGAAAAAGTTCTTTTGAAGATGATTCCTATCGAACTGTTATCTCACTCAAAATGAACCCTAGAAAATTTTCTTTATATAGTTTTTGAACTTCAGACTATACTCTTTGATCAATAAGAGAAACAACAAATTTTATACGATGTTCCTAAGTGAAGAAACATAGATCAAGATGGATGTTAGTGTGGAATGAATCAATCTCAATGGTTTTAGGTGTCTCTTCATTCATATCCACTCTCGATATGAAGTTTCATTCTGTTAATCAACGTCTAAGATAAATATTATGTACAACAAGAGATATAGAATACACATTTGGTTATTACTTCTATCATACTTATTCATCATACCTCGCAGAATTTGTAGGAGTACAGTAGTTATGTATGTCTTTAGTGTGTCAATACCACTGATTATCAGTTGCAAATTTACTATCTCAACATTAAATCAATACCATAATCAAAATCATGATCAACACAATAAGAAAGATCTTTAGATGTTTAACAAATCGTAATCCAGTACAACAATGTTTGTTATCTTTTATATCACATTTAGATTGTCATTTATCATAGAGCACCTCCTGCATTATGTAGTAAGCAACTTCCAGAAGAATATTTAATTATTTAAAATTCTAATCCATAATAACTATAGTCTATTTAAAAAGTCCGTGTGTGTAACTGTTTTTTGAATAACTCGAGACCGCAAACAGCTAGAGACCCACGATTTTCACCAATCGAAAGAGGAAGAGTTAGGGCGTCTTTCTCTCTGACAATATGTTAGACGAAATTCTTTTAAAACTGATCATCTTTGAAAAATATAGAAAAGAATGCATGAAAGTGACATACAATACACATGAAGTTTCGATTATGACCTTTGATTTAGCACTTTCAGGACCGGCTTATTTTGAGCAATGACAATAAGAAAAAAGAAAATGAATGTAAGTTCATTCATATAATCATACAGATAATGAGGAAAAATCCTTGTGATCGCTTCTAAAGAAGATGCAGATCATAACACGAACGTGTAAAAAAAAGCAGCCTATAAGTAGCGGAATGTAGAGGCTAGGTGAGGCTGAAGACTCACCTAAATTTGACGCATGTAGACTTAGCCACACCTAAATTATGGATTTGATACTTATTCGCATGAAGATTTACCTTTATTCTATTAGAAGAATATTATTTCAGAGCAAAGATTCAAACTTCTAATATGTTTATTTATATATTATGATTATAAGCGACGAAACGAGTAGACTTGAAAAATTTGAGCCTCATCTAGACTGAGTAATATTAGACTTAGCCTCATCTGAATTAGACCTATAACCAATGCAACGTATAGACTTAAAAGACTTGAGCCTCATATGGTTTTGAAACACTTCGCCGCCCTGAAGCAGCCGCAACGTTTACTTCGAAGAGACGCAAAAAAAGAATTCGAATTCTTACTCGTCAGATCACGTGAAATTTCATTGACGTTTTAAAACGTCACCGGTCCCGAAAGGGTTAGACAGAGCGACTTCAGATCTATAGTTCAAAACATAACACACTTTCTTACATTTCATTACATTTTCATCAAAGTATCCAGCTGTTATGACAAAAAAATGCAGAAACGTAGTAAAACATCAACAAAATTCCCTATTATTTGTGCATGCAAATACATGATTTCATTTGGTCAACGTTAGAATGCAATTAGAGAGCCATTTGGATTGCATCTTGAATTATAGGTCTGAAGTCCCCTTCATCTAAATCAAAGATCATAATCGAAACTTTATGTGTATTGTATGTCACTTTCATGCATTCTTTTCTATATTTTTCAAAGATGATCAGTTTTAAAAGAATTTCGTCTGACACATTGTCAGAGACAAAGATGTCCTAACTCTTCCTCTTTCGATTGGTGAAAACTGCGGGGTCTCTAGCTGTTTGCGTTCTCGATTTATTCAAAAAACAGTCACACGCACGGACTTTTTAAACAGACTATAGTATATATCACTCGATTTAATTTGCAACATCCAAAACTCGAAGTGAGTTAGTTTCATTTTGCCAAAAGAAAAATCAATTATAACTTAATTGAGAAAAGATGCCAGATATTCATGAGTTCAACCATGAGGGAAGTTTCCCACTTGATAAATCGCTTTTGAATCAAGATTACATGCATTATGTAGACTCAAATGAGATACAAATACTCTGAAAAGAATACACACCAGGAAAACTGATTTCCAAATTTCGACTTAAAATATTACACACCGGCAAGTCTTGACGAGAACAGTTTCTTGTCAAAATTTCAGATCTTAACGCCGTTCCTATCCTAAGATACAGCTATGATAAAAGCGAGTTTCTTACATTGCTCATATACACCGACAGATTCGACATTCTTATTTAAGGATAGAAGTCAATCATAAAATTTGAAACTTTTACAATAAATTACTTTTGTTAAGGC